CGCCATTTTCTCTAGATACGCCTCTGGATATCTGCAATGACTCCAATCTTATTAAATCTAAATCTGTTGATAACTGAAGGAATGAGCTCCACAAGATAAGGTCCTTTTTCAAGACAATTATTGATAGAGGGAAAATTTTTTATTTTTGTCGAACCATCAAAAACGGGTCTGATCTTGGTAGTAGAATTTTCTTTTATCACTGCTCGGTGTGGCAAAAAATGTTCATTGGTGGCTGTATCGTCTGGGCTAACCTCTTTGATAATTCCCTCTCGCAGCCATTCTTTAAATACCTCTTCATAATCTTCTAATATTTCTGATTTCTTTAAGGACTCAACGCAGTTCTTCAATCTTCTTTCAGCAACACTTATATAAGTAGGCAATGTAGGGTGATTTAAGATCCATGGAAGGCTCACTTCATATCTCCCATCTTCAAGTACCTTAATGTTGCGATTAAAATGGTCTTCGGTTGCTTTTGCAACTTCTTCACTTGATTCTTTTTCACCTCGGTCTAATATTCCTAACGTATCTAGTTTCCAGAGATCCGAAATTTTAGCCTGAGCCACATGAGGGGACAAAACTTTGTTGGTACTATTACTGTTTTCAGGATCACGAGTTTTACCCATAAGTGTCCAACCTAATCGCGCTTTGAATGCAATAAAATTTTCTGAAACCGATTTTTTAATACCTGTGAAAAGTTTACCGCAAACGTCGGCTCCGATAAGTAAATCAATTTCTTTAGTTTCTGAATTCGACCCTATCATGTTTTTATAATCGCAAAATTTAATTCCTATCTTATTCGCTTCTTTTATCCACGAGCCATCTCTTATTTTAGGAATTTCTGTACAAATTTTTTCCTGATCATAAACTTCAAAGTTACAAAAATAATCCCGATTTAAATCGCTCAAAAAAATTCTGTATTTATAATGCTGATTAGATCTTTGCAATCCCCCCAAAGGACTATGTTTTAAGTTTCCTTGCTCTATTGGTTTGTAACCTATATTATTTATTGTTTCTTTTAAAAGATACGACTTTTGAGACCCCATGTCTATCGATCCCCGTATAACTATTTCTTTTTGTCCGTTTATTAAGCGAATTGTTAACATTTACATTAATACTTCCGGATTGCAAGTTTCATTCGATAAAACCGTACTTTCCACTTTAGTATCTGTTTTCTTTTCCGGACACATAAATGTATAATGACGTCTAAAACAAATATCGCATTTTACAAAACTCCTGCATTTTTTAGCCGTATGGCCAAAGCGAAAACAAATAATGCAGTGTTTCCCAAACTTATAACTTTTGTGTATCCCTTCTAAATTTTTCGTTACGCTGTGTACCACTGATAAACAAAATGAATGCATTTTTTACTATAAAAAAATTGCACAAAGGTTAAAAATCACAACTGGCTGTTGACACCACTAATTATTAACTGTTAACTCTGCAAAAAATAGCCAATCGAAAAATACTTAATCCTAAATTTTCATGGCTAGCTTTGTTTTTGAATAAAAAATTTTAAACTTTTCGTTTGTTGCAAGATATTTCGCATAAGAACCCGTTACCCCTATTAACTGTTCCTGTACACACTTTGGGAAACACTGAAATAAAGCAACAACCGCTCCTCTTTGATCTATCCCTTTTCTCGTTTCTTTCTTTTTAAATTCATTACAATCCTATAAATTATGTGTATTGTTACAGTAAGAGATACATTTGTTTATTTATTTCTTATTACTCGATTCATTCAATATTCCTGCCTCACGCCGTTGATATGCGATTTTTATTTTAATTACTCGAATTCTCGGCTCAAGAGCCACGCTTTGAGGAGGGAAAGCGGGAACATTCTTAAACTCGTGTTATAGACGAACTCAAGGCCGTGGCTTTTTCTCGGCTAATCACTTCCTTTTTTAAAATTTCGTGGAGCTCTGATACTTTCCGCTCGTAATCATTGCTATATTTTTTAGTTATTTCTAACATTATACCTGAGGGAAGTAATTTAATAAGTAAAGCTCCATAATTTTCTTGATTAATTCCCAAATATTCTAAATTCCTTATTTCGGTTTGACAAGAATTAAAAAGTTTTCTTAATGAAAAAAAATATCTGTTTATTTTTCTACTGGGGTTAAACTCAACAATTAATTCAAATAAGAGTTAATTATCAACGTTTTCTTGCCAAAGCATTCTTTTAATGTTTCAATTACTGATACATAATTATGATATGTTAAACTGAATCCTTTAATCGCATCTGAGCTGATCCCACTAAATATGTTTTCAAGTAATTAAACTTTTCAACATTCGACAAATCAGTGTTTTTATCTATGGCAGATTCGAACTGATCGTAAAATCTTTGCCAGTCTGAAGGATCGCCAGAAAATTTTTCTGTAGTTAAAAGAGGCAGTTTCACAGAAGAAGTTTCATTTATTCTTATATTAGTATTTATCTTCGGTTTGGAAACATTCGAATTTAACTCAGAAGACACTATACCGAAGTCGAAAGTTTTTCAATTTTTCTTTTTAATCAGCTTTTACTTCGTACAATATTTGTCAAATATTCATCATACTTTATAATTTTTGTATCGATTTCATTTACATCCGTAATACCCTTCTGAATTTCGAGGTTAATTTCTTTCAATTGTTCTTGTTTGAAAATTAATTCAAACATTAACTCATCCAATTCATCTATTGTCATCTTATCATCTTGCTATACGTTTTCAATTTTGGTTAATAACTTAGTTGATTATGACCTTATCGTAGTACGTTTTTGTTTGAATTTCTCCATCTTAATATATAAACGAACTACTTATATACTTAAAGTCACTATTCTATGAAACTAAATTTCTAATCGAAAATAAACAAGAAATCTCTTAATGGCGGTCCCTGTTCGGGCGCCAGAAAATGTTCTATCTAATATGAATTTTTGCTTTCTATATGAATAGTGGAAAATGTTCCACTTACCTTTGGACCGCCAATTTGATTATTCATAAACCTTTATTGGTTTTAATTACAAATAGATGAAGATGAATTTACATTAAATGGTAAATGGTGATTATAAAGTGATGAAAAATTGAGTTAGGTATTAGCGCTGCATGGCGCGTCTCTAGTTACATTACATCTACTGTTTTTTAAGTTTTTGAAAAATAAAAAGTTATTACTTCCGTTGCGTCTGTGGCGCCATCTGGGGATAGTTTTCTGGTATGAGAGGGGATGACATCTGGAGATGAGAGCTCGTTACAAAGAGCAATGGATACAAAATCCTCATTCATTAGAAAACTCATGCTGTTAAGTGCTGTTTAAACAATAAAGCGCCGTAGATTGTTGAACTTATTTTTGTGAAATTCTAGGTGGGTGAGGTAGATCTACATTCCAGCGGTATTGCAGAAAGATTATTCTGTATCATGTTCGTCTTCTTAGGGGTATGGTAGGTCCAAAATTTCGGTTTGTAAACAATGCGCGATCACACAAGAGCGCTGAGGTATCGGACACACTAAAAAGTGAAGGCATTGTCCGCATGTAATAGCCTGCATATTCCTCATGTTTGAATCCTATAGAGTTTTCCTGGGATACCCTTGGCAGGTGTGCTTTACTAAGAAAACGTCCTCCCCGAACTGAGCAAGAGCTGATAGCCATCTTGAGAGAGGAGTGGGATAATAGCCCCTAAGAAGACCCCCGATAGTTTAATGGGCAGCATAAATAACACATGCAAAGCACGCATTAGGGTCCGAGGTAATTATACATCTTACTGAGATACTCAATCCTGTTTCATTCTGGTAAGAAGACCCATTTTTTGTGGCTGTTTGGAAATCATCTAAGGAGCACATTTTCTTACTTTTTGATGTTACAATATTTGTACCACAATAATAAATAAACATTGTGTCCACTAAATACCTACTTAGTTTCATTTTTTTCAATCAGTGTCTATTATTAATTATTCTGAAAAATGTAACTGTTTCTTAACAATTGCAAAGCAGTGTAGATATCGGCAACAAAAGATAAATAATTCAAAAATTAACTGGAGGCAGGAAACTGTGCTAAGACAGATGAGAGGTTTTTACTTAGGTTTTACGAATTCTTTTTCGAACAACATCGCAATAGCTTATTGGCATTTTATCCGTTCCGTGTTTGCTAAAATAATTCTTTGCCATCAAAAGTCTGTAATCAAACGAAAGATGTCGACTTAAAAGTAATTCAGCTGTGCTGTTTGAAAATAATATGTTATAAATAATTGAAAAAAAAAGGAAAAGAAAAGAAAGAAAGCCAAAAGTGTAGGTATGGAATTTTTTCCTCGTTCTGGGGGTTTCTGTGTATTAACGTTTTTTTTTTGTATCTGATAGATATTTTTTTGTGTATTCATTATTAAATTTTTTTTCTACATACTTGAATATCAACCTTTACTTACAAAATAAAAATGTTTACACTTTCAACTTATGAACTAATGATTAGAATTTCACGTGTACCTTTTTCATGGTTTGGTAGAACCATAGATGGTAGAACCATCCATGGTAGAAGCATTCATGGTTTGGTAGAACCTAAGATAGGCTAATTATAAAGATGATAATTAAAGTAGCAATTTCAAACACACAAATGTACTTTCTTTCAATGAAATAACTTTTTTACCGGTGATTTATTTCGAGCTTCGACCAATGGAAGTTATCTTTAATCCAAAAGGTATGGTCAGATTTGTTTAGTTAGAAGAGCAGTTGACCCTAAATGTTATTTTTTATTTTACGCATTATCTTCGGATCTAATTGCGGATATTAAAAACTCTTTGCTTTCATTTATAAAACTTGTTTACCCAAATAATTTGCAACACTTATTATCTATCATTATTTATTTTAATTACAATAGGATAAAGTTAGAACTATAAGGTATTTGAACTGTAAGGTGGTTCATCATCTGTTTGAACCAGAGCCGTTTTTATGTTCCTAGGGGCCCTGGGCCTGTCATTTCCTGGAGGCCCTTTATGAGTATATTTAGAGAAAAAAATGTAATTTTGAATAAGTTTTAAAAATTATTTTATTTTAAGATAAAAAACATTTAAATTAGTTATAAAATCTTATATACATTATTTTTATCGAAAATTTAAGGTAACAATACTTTTCGCGCTTTTTATCTTCTATCACATCATCAAAATCAATTTCCTGTAAGACATACATTTTGCTTTGCAACTCAAAATCTGTAAGACTTAGAAGCATCAAATTATGAGGGTGTGTAGAAAATATGCAAGGAATTAAAAAGAGTACAAGAAAATACAGTTTGATTATTTTTTTTTATAATCGCCATTGAAAAACTGACTCAATTTTGAGCCAATGTTTAATTACGTAGCCTTGAAATTTTAAAACCAATCCAGAAGACAAGGAAACTCCTGGAGCAGTACCCAGAGGTATTGAATTGTTATGAGAAATTGGAGGAGTTAATCACCCCGACAGATTTAACATGCACCAGTCACCATTTTATACTTGGGTATTATTCGACCGGCTCAATTCGAACTCCCATTCTCATGAACACGAGTCCATAGCCCTACCATCAACCAAGCTATCGTGGCCAAATTATTAGTTTGTTTTATAACAGTCATTCAGTAACCCACCCAATTTCGAGTTTACTACTACTAATGTTCAACTCCGTAGCCTTGTAATTTTGAACCCTATCCAGCAGACAAGAGAACTCCAGGATCAAGTATTGGAAGAAATTTTTGCCTTCGTGGAGGACGTTTTGATGGAACTAGCCCGCATTTGAGTTACATGGAGAGGAAAACCACGAGATCCTCCCAC